AGAGACTATGGTATCGTGCTCTGTATGGAGGTCTTGGAACAGTGTCTTGTGTGGCTGAGAAGGCCAATTCGAGAGTGACAATCCCTTCCACACTGGAGACAAATCCAATCTGTCCCCTGTCCAGCTCCCTGGTTTTGCTTGTTTCGGGACTGCCTCTTTGCCTCGGTCTGCTGTACAAGTGTCTCTTCAAATTGGGAGAGGCCATGATGCACCGCCTGCCTCCAGGCTGAATGCTCAGATGTCAGGGTTTCAAATCTGTTGAGGCCCATTCCTAAGGCCTTCAGATCCCACTTGCAGATATCCTTGCATTGCAGCTGTGGTGTCCCTCTGGGATGATTTCCCTGCACTAATTCTCCATACAGGAGATCCTTTGGAATCCGACCATCAGCCATTCTCACAACATGCCGAAGCCTAATGTATACATGCTAAAAATTCCAGCTTGTTCTAGGACTACTCTCTTTGGAACGTTGTCCTGCCATGCAGGACATACTTACTAGGACAGGCTTTGTATGCTGCTAGAGCGCTCTTCTTATCCTCGATGGCTGGCATCAACTCCTCCAAATGGGCTTCGAACCAGTCAGCCGTCTTTTTGGTCTTCTTTCCAAATATGGACAAGGCAGTGTCATACACAGCATTCTTGAAATGTTTCCATTGTTCAGGTGCATTTGTATCAGCTGGGACTGGAAGGGTTTCCTCAACTGCTTGGGCAAATTCCTCCACTTTTTTTTTGATCACGAGTCTTGCTGATGTCAATACATGGTCTTCCGTCCTTTTTCATGTGATACAGTCTCTTTGTTCACAGTTTTACTCTACTACACACCAGGGAGTGATCAGTATCGCAATCAGCACTCTGGTAACTGCGTGTGATCGTAATACTGTACTAGGAAGGCTAGAATGTCTAGTGAGGATCAAATTGAGCTGATGCCAATGCTTCGATCTTGGATGTCTCCAAGAGAGTCTGTGTTGAAGCTTTGTATTAAAGAACGTGTTGCTGACACAAAGACCATAATAACAGCAAAACTCCAGGAAGCATTGGCCATTTTTGTTCATCTTCCCAATGCCAAAACGGCCTAGACAAGTGGGCCAAGAATTGTGATCAGCACCAACTCTAGCGTTAAAGTCACCAAGAATGAACAGTGGCTCTCTCTCTCTCTCAGGGACTTTTTTGATAGTAGCTGTCAGATCATTGTAGAATTTGTCTTTGACATCTGTTGTGCATGACGGTGTTATTGCATATGCACTAATGAGGGTGACCAATCCTGCTGATGAGTGGAGCTGCAGCGACAGGATTCTTTCATTCCCCACAGTAGGTGGAACAATGGATCTCAGCAGAGTATTTCTGACTGCAAAGCCAACACCATATTCCCTGGTCTCATTCAGTCGTTTTCCCTGCCAGAAGAATGAGAAGTTTTTTTCTTTGACAGATCCTGAGTCTGGCAATCTCGCCTCTTGCAGGGCAACTATGTCCATCTGCAGTCTACTCAGTTCCATGTTGATGACAGCTGTCTTGCACATGTTGTCTATTTCCTGCAGGTCATCAGAAAAGCCGTCGTCAGAAAAGCCAGGGATAATTGTCCAAACATTCCAGGGGCCCAACTTTAGGGCAGAAGTTTTCTTATGATCGTTGCATGGTGCAGGGTTATTGATCTGCTTGTTGGCTTTCATCCTAAACCGCACGCACCCCGTGAGGTTAACAAACCATGGCGTGGCGAGGTAGCACCTTACTTGCTGGGGACTGCCCAGATTAATGTGGGTGGCAGTTACCTAGTGTGGTGCAATGACCTCTCTCACCATCAGAAGTAGCCCCTGGCATCATGCTGTACGCCAATCAAGCAAAGACTTATAACCGGTAACTGCTACTTCCCGTGTTGTTTCGATGCTGTATGCGAAGCTTGAGTGTCCTCTCCAGAGCACGAAGCCTGGGTAAAATAATATGGAGGATAGGCTGTTACCCAAGTAGCAAACCCCCCTCTCCACGTTACTGAAATGGTCCAGTGGAAAGGCAAGAGCCAATGCAACTGGTTCCAGCAACGTCGTGGGAGTTGCCAGAACAACACGAACTGCCTCCGGGACTCTGGCTCTGGATTTTGCCTTGAGGTTAACTCCTGAAGCCTTTTCCATCAGTGGATATAGCCACAAGGCAGTGGAAGTTTGAAATCGGAGTTTTCCTTCTCCTAGATTGGCTGCCTTCCAAGGCTGACAAGTCCCACCTACCCGGCAAAAATAAACATAGGTTACAAATAAACAACAATCTCATGAGAAGTCAACTGCCTTGCATCTATTGCAGAGTACTGTTTTGGTAGAAAAATATCTGAGTCCACCTGATGAGTATTCTCTAATAGTCATTTTCAGATACAGAAAGGAAATTGAGAAGAACCAATAAATTACAAAAGTTGGAAAAGCATGTCAGAGAAGGACAGGGGAATTTCAGACACACTGAATGAATGTTCTACATCAATCTTTACAACAGTGCATAATGCAAACACACACATTTTTGGACGGTCGATCTGAAGTATTATAGTGAATGGATGTGACAAAGATTGATGCTTTATTAGAACTGATAATTAAACCTGGCATGTTTGGTATTATACTTGATATGCTACTGCTCATTAAAATATGTGAGAGCTGGTGCAGCATAGTGGCTGATGCTGTAATCATGCATATTTATCTGGAATTAAGTCTCTGAAACTCATGGGGGCTTACTTCTGCCTAAGTCTGTGTAGAATTGCACTGTTGGAGACTGAAGTGCAGATCAGAGCACCCTCAGTTCATGAATCCACTGGATGGTATGGCCGTAGGCAAGCCAGTTTCTGTTATGGCCTCATTGTGCTATAGGTATAACAATGGGAAGATAATTATCCTATAATGAGATAGTAATGTATGTCTTACAGAGTTGTTCTAAGGCCTCAGAAAGGGTATCCCTGAATACACATAGTGCAGCAATCTAACTGTAAATAAGCAGGTATGGATTAGGACAGCATCTGGGCAGGATACTACCAATATGTCAGCAGTAAGAAGCTGTGGATCTTCTTCTCCATGGGTAGGCATGGAAGCCATGTAGGCTGCTGCCTTTCTGACATTGTTACTGCAGTTGAGGCAAGTCTAAGAAGAAGCCACCCCAAGAGTATTCTATCAGGGAGGCAATGAACCCATAGGAAGCTATAGTACTGTTCAAGTGATACTTTCTCAGTTATGTTCAACATATAAAGAATGGACCTCTCCCTCTGTCACTGTTTTCCTCTGGTGGAAAGTGATTCACCTGATTTCTGTCCACATTTAGGGTCTCCATGCAGACAGGAATCCTGGTTTTCTCATGTAGAAAGCTTTCATGCAAACAGGATCTTGCCTTTTCAGACGTGGGAAGTTGTAAATAGAAGATGCAGTGGTAGGCTCCTTCTCATTTGCATGTCGAAACACCTGAATAAGGCAAGAGAGAGCAAGCTTTGAGAAGTGATGCCTCCTCTGCAACAGATGCTCTTCACTATGAGCTGAGCGAGCGCACCTTAGGCAGCAAACTGTGTTTAGCCAGCCCTGCCACCATATTGCTGTTGCCTATTGCAGTTCTGCTGTCCTTGAAGTTCATGTTTTTTTTCCTCCAACGGTAACACATACATATATGTGTATATATATATATACACTGCTGTCCTTGAAGTTCATGTTTTTTTTCTCCATTGGTAACATATGTATACTACACTGGGTACTCAGGTGAGCCTAGTATGATATATATATATATATATCATACTAGGCTCACCTGAGTACCCAGTGTAGTATAATGGATAGAGTAATGGACTAAGCCCAGGAGTCCTGGGTTCAATTCCTTGCCTCTGCCATGGAAACTTATTGTCAATTCCTTGCCTCTGCCATGGAAACTTACTGAGGGTGAAACTGGTAAAACTATTTCTTAAATATCTCACTTACCTTGAAAGCCCTATTTTAGGGTCACTGTAAGTTGGTTGTGATGGCACATAAGAAAAACAAAGTTGAACCCAGCCTGAGAAAAGTTGAGAGTTTATCCCAAAGATCTTCCAGTCTGAAGTCTCCCTGCCACTTTTTTTGTGGAAGACAGATGTCCCCAGAAAAGTCAGAAGCTTATATTTGAGAATCAGCCCTGACGGTTCTTGGAGAATAGAAAATCTCTGTGTTAGAATGATGCACTGTTTTACTGGCAGAAAGCAGGGCTTTTTTCTCTTATATTTAATTTAACTTACATTTCTTTTCTTCTCTTAGTCATCGTGGTTCTCTATGTAGCCCTGCGACGGCAGAAGAAAAAAGACACTCTTATGACCTCTAAGGAAGACATCCGAGACAATGTCATCCATTATGATGATGAAGGTGGTGGTGAAGAGGACACTCAGGCTTTTGACATTGGAGCCCTGAGGAATCCCAAAGCAATTGAGGATAATAAAATACGTAGGGATATAAAGCCGGATGCTCTCTGCTTACCTCGTTCAAGACCGCCTGCAGAGGACAACAGAAATATTAGAGATTTCATCAATCAGAGGCTGAGAGAAAATGATGGCGACCCCTCAGCTCCACCTTATGACTCACTAGCGACTTATGCTTATGAAGGAAATGGATCTGTGGCTGAATCTCTCAGCTCTATAGATTCACTTGCAACGGAGGCAGACCAGGATTATGACTATCTGAGTGACTGGGGACCACGCTTTAAAGTCTTAGCAGAGATGTTTGGAGAAGAAGAAAGTTATAATCCTGATAAAGTCACTTAGCTGGGGGCAGGGGGGAAAGGAAAAGTTAACCCACAATAAATTTTAAAATAAACAAGCTTTATAGGACAAGATTCCTTTGATTATAAGAGACAGAAGCTGTTTCCAGCAAGTTCCTATATTTATCAAAATGTCAATCTTGATTTCGCTATTTGCCAGGGGATGGATCACCCTTGACTATCTACTTTCTTTTTGTTAGTTGGTTGGTTGGTTGAGTTTTATTTTTTATTACCTTGGCGTCACACTGAGACAACCTCAGGCCTATTAGCTACAATGTATTGATAGAAATACACAGAAAGAAAGATAGCTTTCTGGCATCATGGTGGAAGAGTGGTAGATGTTTTCTTAATTCCACTGAAGTGCCTCTTGAAACTCTTACCATTTAAAGCGGAAATGACTGCAGCAATGGAGCTAAGAAAAACTGGCATAAAGGGAAGGACAGTCACTTTTATGTCAAGAAGCAATAGCCACAATGCTGACTTCCGATTCTTTTAAAACACACATCTACAACAATGGCTGGAATAATTCCAGTGACCACCCTACTTAAAGGGGGCAGAGTTCATTTCAGTTTGGGTTTGTTTCACTAGAGAAACAAATTGTCTGACAGGACACTACATATCTTCTGCCTACACTTCATGGGGTGGGGTGGGATTTAAAAAGTTGTTATTCCCATTGACGTTGTAAAGTCTTAGACTGAAATCAATGAATATTTAAGAAGTTCATCAAAATGTTACACTTTTCCAAGAATTAAAAAAAAGAAATGAGATGTGACAGAGGTACGTATTTCTTGTTTGGATGGTCCAATTGTTCGCCAAGAGTTCTCTTCTTTCAGAGGATGATGTGTTTTGAATATTGGGTCAGAAGAAGAGAATTCTCTGAGCATCTCTTTTTATGCAAACAAACAAGTCAGCCACCAAGCAAACAAATGGGTTGTCCCTCTTTTATTTTATCTTTGCACTAACGTCTTTTTACATCTATCGTGTTTTGACAATATAATGTAAATATTCTCACTTGACATGAGTTGACTGCGGAGGTGTGGCATCTACCAGAGTTACCACCTGTTCATTAGATTGGGTGTAAATAAGACATTATGAAATGTATTGTCAGCAAGGTGTACCTCAAAAAATTTGAGTCACTACTTTCCATTTCAGAAATGCACATTTGTAAAACTGAATGAATTGAATTCCATAAGTTTAAAGAGGTTCTTTTCAATACTTTATTCAGTAATCAACATGAAATGATGGGAGTAGATACCCACAACTATTGGTCATAATCAGATGCATGATGTTGCCTCTGTTTTGCTCCACTAGTTGAGTGAATGACCAGATTGACTACTATTTTCCCAGTTAGAAGTTGGCAACTCTGTGGGGAAAAAAAACATTAATTAGCCAGTTTGTTTCTTACCCTAATTATTCTGCTGTTACACATGGAGTAAAAAAAGAACATGGCATATCCTCTCCATGTGTTATAGCTCCCTCGGCTCATCAATCAGGAAATGGATGGGATAATTCAAGTGGCCATGATAGTCTGCCTCAGTGTGTTGGCAAAAGAAAACAAAGGCGAAATTGTAAAGACTAGCAGTTCCATCTCAGTGTGAGCTTTTATGGATCAAAATTAGAGATGGGGGTATTTGTATTTGAATACGAATATCACCACGCAGCTGGACTTAATGAGAGTCTGGCCCCCTGGGGCCGGACATCCACTCATGCATCTGGCAGCAGTAGCAGCTTTGCTCTTCCTTCCAATCAGCCCTGGAGCCCCGCTTGGCTAGCTACTCCTGGCCATGGGAGGGCGGGTGAGTCTCTCTGCAAGACTGCTGAGTCGCTAGCTGAGCAGGAAGAAAGTGGCACTTTGGGAGTGATTGGAAGGAAGAGCAAGGCTGCCACCGGAAACATGAATGGATGGTCCAGCCCCAGGGGCCAGACCCTCCTTAAGTGCAGCTGCGCAGGGATGTTCATATTCATATACGAATACCCCCATCTCTAATCAAAATCCATTTCCTTGAACACAGGAGTGCAAATAATCATGCATATCCTTATGACCATGTGAGGGGACAGATAATAGACAAATCAGCAACTGAACACCTACCTGTTTTGAGAAATTATTTTCAGTATTCCACGGGCACTTGAGATGGGGGAGATTTTCCAAAAGCTTATTCATAATTTTTAAATAATATTTTTAAATAGCTGTGTATTATACTTTCACTTTCACATTATAATTGGTATGTTTTTACTTCATTGTGGATTTTAAATTGTGGATTATTTTTATTGCAGGAGAATTTACTGCTGATAATGTTTTCTTGGAAATGAAAAGAATTCCCTCTATCCCATGACCTCCAACAGCTTTACAATGATGACCAGGATCTCATAAAAGCTTTGTGACCTTCAGGGCAGAGAACTGTAATTACTTTTATTTCTGAAAAATCACCAGAGCTGATATCAGCAGCCTTAGACAGTGTAAGTTATAGAACAGGATTTCAGCCAACAGTTCATTAATACAGGAATGGAATTATCATGCTTTAATTATTTCATTACCTTTGCAAAGGTAATAACCTGTAGACCAAGATAACACGCCTGTCATAGGAATCTTGAAAGATGCTTCTGGGACAGAGGTCAAAGTCTGTCAAGGGAGATAGTTATTGTATACCCATGACTATAACACCAGGCTATTGACATATGTAGTGCACTAAGAAGCCCTGAACTCTATTAACGCCCTTAGAGGTCCACTAGAGCTTATTTATGTAGTCAGTTTCTGCTGTCTCCCTCTCGAATCTCCTTTTAATTATATTTGACATGTATTTGCACTCCTGTGTCTGAGGAGATGGATTTTAGTACACAAAACCTCACATCAAAATAAAACTGTTTGTCTCAAAAGTATTATCATAGTTTGCCTGTTTAAAAACATTCTTTTGTTAATTACAAATGCTGATTCTTTCTAGAACAACAATATTTAAAATAAATAATAAATAATAACCCATGTTCAGCTCAGGAGATCCACTGATGTAAGTGAAAACTATGCACATATTATGAGTAGACGAAAGGAAACTTTGTATAGAAGGTCTTGAATTTCCATGATAGCCTCTAGGTTCTGATTAATTGGTTACTACAACTTGGAACAGAAGCAACACGTTGCTTATGAACAGTGCAAAACCTGAGCAAGCCTACTGAAGTGTGAGTCTGGAGATGCTGTTGAGCTACAAAACTGATCACCCACAACCACCATGGTTTTTTTTAGACTCCTGAAAGACCCTAGGACCCAAGATTGGGAAATGATGCTTCACAAGAACATCAGAAGTGCCTTACATGAGTATAATAAAATCTAGCACTTGAGGAAGTTACTTTGTTTGACTAGATCTCCCAGAATCCCAAAACCAGCAGGACTTCAAGACGTTCTGCCTAGGGGATTCTGAGAGCTGTCTTTAAAAAAAAACTTGTTCTGGAGAGACCCATCCACTCCAGCATTCTGGGAATTCACAAACAAGGCATGGATGTGATAGGATCTTCTCTTCCATTTGTAGATCCCAAATGCAGACTAGTATGCCTTTGGGGAAAGACAATCCATACCTTTGTAAGCCTGTAAGCTGATTTGCACCCTCCAATATTAATTGACTCATTCATGCATATTTCTGTGTATTAACATCCTTCTGCTGTATATCATTTTATTCTGTCTGCTGGTGTGTTAATTCCCTTATCTAGTATGCTTGGATATACAGCACCTGTCACCTGCCATTGACATATGAACTGAACAAATACCATTTAGCGCTCTCGCTCTCTCATCTCTGTGATTTGTCAATGACCCCTAATTTGCCATCAACATGCAAGATACCTTGCATTTCAGTTCTGTTCCATCTTCTGTCCTTTCCAACTCTGTATAAATGTCCGTCTGCTACTCTCAATGCATTTGAAGAAGTGGGTTGCACTCCACAAAAACTTATGTCAGATAAAGTTTATTAAACTTTAAGGGGCCCTTTGTGGGTTGTTATAGGATTACACTACATAAAACATTACTATTTTATCTTGAGCACTTCATTGCAGCACACAAGTCCTGCTATAGTTAGAAATCTATATATGTCCTTTGAATGGAGATACTACCTTTGTCTACAGATTACATTTATAAAATCGCTTGTTCTCAATTATCACATTTTAATGTGAAAGGTCACTGTATAGGTTTGGCATTATCATAGTGACAGCCAAGAATAGAGAAAAGATTGTCTCGTTATCAAAAGAAATGAGAAACAGAAACTGAATACTGAGCTTTGCAGAATGATCAGATTATACATTATTAAAATGCTTGATTTCTTTTCCTATACATCATTTTTAAAAAGCTCCTCTTTCTTGGTTTATTAGTTATATATATTCCAAGATTTCTTTGCTTCTTTCATACCTGGGTGTGTATGCAGTTCTGTGTTTCCTTGTAAGTAGTATAGTCCCTTGAGAGCTGTTTCAGGAGCCCCTTTGTCCCCCCTGAACGTGCAGATTTGTTTTAGATGAGAACTAATTTGGTACAATGCAGGGACAGAAGCCTTGGCTCTACAGATATAGCTGGACTACAGGTCCCATCATCCTCAGACATTGGTCATGCTGGTTTGGTTGATGGGAGTTGGAGTTCAACAACATCCCATTAGATTTTCCCCAACCCCGATGTAGTTGTGAGAGCATTAGTTTAGGTCTGGGGAAGAGCTTGGAAATAATGCATTCAATTTAAAATATTCATGCCAAATGTAAAGCTGTTCTTTTTTTTTAAAATCAGTGCCAAAGGACCTCAAAATCTAATATTTAACAGTAATAATTAAGGAAGTAAAACCCATTAGTTGCAAGCCCCTTTGTAGAAGGGATTATGACAGTCCATGTACAGTAAATCTAAGAAATGGATTTGTATTAGCTGGCTCAGGCTTGGACTTCTAAATGCACTTGGGCGATAACAGTCAGAAACCTTAACACAGTAAACAGCCTGTGGTGTTTCCATGGGTTTCTGAGAAATAAACCCCCCAAACCTTGAAGAGTTAAGAACCATCATGCTGTAAAAAGCCAGTTGGTCATTGGTGTGAGGAGGAAGTCTTTCTTGCTGCTATGGCTGCCTAGATGAACTGTCAGACCCAGACAACTGTGTAGCTACATTTCAGACTCAGTTCTTAACGGCCATCCCACAGTTCTTACAAATGAAAAAGAGGCCCTTCTTGCACCAACCGAGATTTTGTTCTCGTTTTTTCTTGTTTGTGTCCATCAGTCAACCATTTCATTTTGTAATCTTCAGCAGTAAGTTTGACCATAAAAACCCTTTGAGCTTCCTCACGCAGAGAAGCTGCTGAGTTGCGGCTTTGGTTCAAATAACATTCTTTTTCCAACATCATACATGGAACACTATCCCCCTCCTCCTCTTTCATCGTTATAATTATTTGAGGAGCGGGGCTGTCAACCTGTACTGGGAATGGGGCCACAATGACCTCAAGAGCTGTGTGAGATCAGAAAGGTCTGCGGCTCTCTGAGCTCCTTTTAGTGAGCACTGTGCACAAAGTTACTCACACCACTAGGCTAACAAAGTTTATTGGAAATGTCAATCAGACTTATTGTAGAGCAGTGCTTCCTAGCTTTTGGGGCTTCTGGCTGTTTTAGACAATAATTCTGAGAACAGAGAAAAGTATAGATTGCTAACTGTTTGAATGAAAATTTCTGGATATTTAAACTTCAGAGACTGAAGTCCTAGATTGGACTGTCAATCATTACCTTAATTTTTAAGAATCTCTATAGGCCTTTTTTGACTTTGGGGTGGGGAGTGTGAGTGACATGTGCTTTCCATTAAATTAATGCTTAAATTAAAGCAATAATAATCCCAGTTTAATGTGGTAAACATGCTAGATGTTGCCATTAGAGATAATATTTCAAAACATTTACATTTAATTAAATTATTTTTATATCTAAGATTCCATGCTCTGGCCTAGGAAAATTAGGATTTAAATTTCCAATGTAACCATGAAGCTCACTGAAACGATCTTGCAGATATTTCCAGTTTGCCTACACAGTTCAATAGGAATGGGCTAAATAGGGTTGCATAGAGGTCTACTATGCTATTTACTGCAGTCCTTGTATCCATATTATATGCACACTTCAAACAACTGTATTTGATCCACCTCCCTTAAGAAAGTGAATTTCAAATATTCCCCTCCTTGCTTTCTTGTTTCTCTTCTTTCTGAGAGGAAGTTTTATTTTAAAAAAAATCCGGGAAGGTATAGTGCATTTCTAAAAGCTTTAAAAAAAGAATTGTTGCTTCCTTCCTCTGTTCCTCCACAGAGGAGAAAGGTTTTTATTATTATTATTCTGTGCAAACAAGATTCCAACCACTGTTATGATTATATAATGGAAAGCAAGGAAAGAACTATTAACGAGTTTAACAAGACTATTATGATGGAAGGTTGCAGGGACTACAGTCCACTTCCTCAGGTGCACCTGAATTTTGTGGTTTCTGTGTTCAGCTAAATTATTTTTGTACCTAACATTCAGAGAGTGTTTTCAGCACCTGAAGAAGTTGTTTAAAGTTTGTAAAAGCTCATTCCAAATAAAAAATTGTAAGCTTCAAGATGTCACAATCCACTCTGTTGGTTGTGTTGTAATAGGCTTGCATGACTACACCTTTAAAACTTCTGCAAG